AACCAAAGGACTTGTATGCATGCATATAAGCATAAACGATGGATGTGGACAACAGGGGGTGAGGGTGAGGGCAGGATTGGGGGGATGAGAAGACATTGGGGGGATAAGGACACATTTGTAATATCTTAATCAATAAAGGGAAAATAAATTTAAAAAAATATTCCCTCACAGTCTTTTTCATAAATGGCTCAGCACCAGGCACTGACATGGACCTGCGTCTGAGTTCTATGCTACAGCTGAGTGAAGTAAGATGAATGCAGTAAACACCATCTAAAATATCACTAAATTTCACTAAAGTCAGAAGTAAAGAAATTTGATTTGAGGCCAGTGTTCCCCATGAACAAAAATAGATTTCTATTTTATTATGTCATAATCTGTTGTGTAAAAAGGGTTTTCTTTTTTATGCACATCATTCCTTTTAAAAGCTATTTTCACGTCCCTTCCAGGGTCTTATTTAGTTTATTAGCCATTTTTAATGTGTTTTTAAAAAAAATATTAAAAATTATCTTGTCAATTGAGGCCAACCCAGGGCAGTTTCTTTCCCCACCTTCCTTAACTTTATTCCATTTTCTGTTGTTAAGGCTGGCAAGAGTTTAGTCTTTCTTCCCTCCTACCGTATGGAAAAAGCCTTTCTAAGTATTTCCATAACACCAAGTGACTATTATTATTAAAGCTCAGATGGTAACATCTTTTCCTTTTTATTATTCCACTCCATTTCTATATTTATAAAAATAAATAGCATAAGCCAGGCTTTATGCCAGCTGAAAGGCGTGTTGAATTTGGAAATAGATGAAAAAATTCACTACAAACAAGACCTTATTCTAACTTTCCCCCTCCATAGCCTTCCCTTTCTCAACCAGAGTGGTAATTCATTGGTTAGATATCCGTGACTAGTAACTAATCAAGCTCTAGCTCTCGGTCTGTGAGGCCAGGTCATGATTGTCACGTACTTTAGGAAGTCGTTGAGTTGTGCCCTCCTTCATGGCTAGAGATGTCACTGTCACCACTTGCAGCCATTTGACCTCAGGAGCCATGAACCATAGGAGGCCACAGGCTAGACACCATGATTCATACAGTCTCATTACCACTGCGGCGAAAACAAGGCCCATCGTAGGTTAGCAGGTGGGAATGAAGGGCACCCTGACTTACTAAATAGCTATGGCTAGCTGGAGCTACAGGTCGGAAGCGCCAGAAGTTCCAGAGGTTTTGAGGTTGGTTGTAAAGTAAAATAAATTTGATTTCCCAAGTTGCTGTTTAAGTTCTTAGAGTTTATCAATGGTAACTTTAAAACAGATATTGCCCTGGTTGGTGTGGCTCAATGGGTTGGGTGTTATCCTGCGCACCGAAAGGCTGCCCGTTCAATTCTAGGTCAGGGCACATGCCTTGATTACAGGCTCAATATCTGGTAGGGGGCAAGCAGGGGGCAGCTGATCTGTGTTTTGCTCTCACATGGATGTTTCTCTCTCTCCCTCTTCCTTTCTCTTTCTCTAAAAAAAATCAATAAAAAATCTTAAAAATAATACCAGATATTTCCCAAGGATTCCCCCCTACTGTATGGTCTGGCAACTTCATTAAAGTGCAAAATAATTTTGTGTAGTCAATACCTGAAAAAATCTGAGTTGAGCCTTTTTAGGATGTTTATATTACCTAAAAATAACAAGAAAAATAGGAGATTTTGAAGTCTATGTTGCAATTCAGAATAATAGTCTTATTATTAATCATTATATCTGCATGATTTTAACACTAACCTAATTTATATGGAAGGGTTTAGTTGAGCCAAATATTTATTTTCCTAAGTGACAGATAATAAGTTTCTTGACTATTTGGATAAGTAGATGAGTTTGAATCTTTTTCTTTCAACATATTTACACACTCTGCTTTTAGGGGGACATAAGAGAGTATAAAGAATTTGATTTCCTGTGATTGAATTTACAAAACTAATGGGCATTTAAAGTTCTTAACATTCTAAAATTCTATAAAATAGAATTTCCTTTGTAAACTTGGATACATAATTGGAGGTGACATCTATTTCATATTTTGGACAACTGTTGCAGTATATTGCAGCTTTTACCTATTGAGATGAACCATCTTTATTATTTGTAAAATAGACTCATTGCATAGTATCTTCACAGGCTTATGATTGTACTTTTCTATAACATCGAGATATTGAAGCAGTTTCAGATGTACTGTTATAATAACACGTGGACTAATGTGTTTTTCAGGCAATATTCGACTGGGTAGATATTGCAGGTGGTAAATTAGCTGCAATGTCTCCGATCGGAACAGATCTTGAAACTGTCAAGCAGCAGATTGAAGAGCTGAAGGTATGGCTGAGGGCTAATTTGTCAAAGACTTTGTTTTCATTTTTAAGTTCTTGACTCACAGGATTCTCTTTACGTAAATGGATTTATTTTACATAATTGAAGTATTACATTTTGATTATGAAACTGGTTTAATATAGTACCTTCACCTACTTAACAGTATATAAGTGTTCCTTAAATAAATAATATAAAATACTAATAGTTTTCTTCTTATTAAATCAGTATCTGTTTACTTTAGAAAAAAATCAGAAAATACAAAGAAGCAAAAAGGTGGCTTTTTTGGCCACCCAAACTGTTATGTACCCGGAGGCAAACCCATTTGAGATATAATTTATAGCCTTTGACATATCCTCCCGTGGGGGGCAGGATGAGGTATAGGGGTCATGGGTGTGCTTTATCCATATGTAGATAATACTGTAAGGATTTTTCTAGCTTTATTATTCAGTAGTCTATTATTGTCAATATACATAGAGCAACATTTTTATTTTCTTCATTGTGTTCAGAATAATTCATTTAGTCTTACAGGCTGAAGAACCACATATAGGATGATTGTGTTTCTCAGAATGTTTGTTTTGTTTCTTATTTTCCATCTGCTTTCCTCTCTAAATTTGTTTTGGGGGGTTCTTCATCTCCAGTTGTGAAAAGGGCTGGACTGTTCCCTCTTTGAATTCCTCTGTGCTGATCATTTATCAAAGTGGGATCGGCGATTTCCTTCTGATTTTAAGTGTCCATCCACAGACACATCACACCATTTCCAGTGAACTCTGTTAGATTTTTATATAAAATTATGATTTGGCTTTAAAATTGTAGCATTTTCATCTCCAAGCATGATATAGAATATTTCGTTTAGAAAAAAAAGTGGGGATTTTTGGAGAAGTTTACTGTTACCATCATTAGATTGGTTTTTTTTTTTTACTTTTTTATCTGATCATATAGAAACCCATGATATATTGTATATACTCTTATGGCTGTGGAGGGCTATTTATTTTGGTCATTTGCATGTATCTCAGTGATTTTCATATAGCAGGTGGGTTAGGAAGGCTCTCTATGAAATGAGGTTGTCTGAGATTGCATTCCAGTTCATTCACTTTACTAGCTAAACAATCATGGGAAAGTTATCTAACTGGTCTCACTTCTATGTCCTTAGTTTAAATTGAGAATAAAATTATTTTCTTTATTAGTTTATGGAGAGTAACTTTATATACATTAGTTACTATTTTTTAATTATTATTTTCATACGCTTGAAAAAACTAAGGGGCTGCTTAGTTATTACTTACCATTTAATTATTTACTATTATACATTAAATATTTTATGAAAGAACAGTTTCCTATTACAAGCAACCGTTTGTTAACCTGTGTTGGTTGGCAAAGGCAAGATTACTAATATGTGTCAGTAAGCACAGGGAGAGAGAATAATGTTATTCTGAGTCAGCAGTGGGTGAGTCAGAAGGAAAACTAAATATTAAATGAATACAACACAGCTATAGAAAACAAGATGTTCAGTGGATATATGTGTATATTTTTGAGGAATAAATATTAATTTGAGTTTCTTAGAGATATTTTTCTGAGTTTTATATATGTCTATGACATTTTGCTTTCTTCTTTGCTATAATGTTATTCTGAGTCAGCAGTGGGTGAGTCAGAAGGAAAACTAAATATTAAATGAATACAACACAGCTATAGAAAACAAGATGTTCAGTGGATATAATATATGTGTATATTTTTGAGGAATAAATATTAATTTGAGTTTCTTAGAGATATTTTTCTGAGTTTTATATATGTCTATGACATTTTGCTTTCTTCTTTGCTATAATGTCAAAATTCATTTATTGAATATATATAATTAGACATTGGAGTAAGTTTAGCCCTGAAATTTGTTAATTTTTTATTGTAGAGTATAAAAGTGAAATATCAAAGTTATAGAAATATCTTTTCATCAGAAAACATTGAATAAAGAAAAAAGAACTCCCTTTTTTGTCTATAACTCTTTTATTGGTAAACTGTGTGTTACATTTTAATTCCTATTCACCCCACTCCCCAATAAGGAGTATGAGTTAGAATACAGGTCTAACCCACAGAATTATTTTTGTTTAAAGTTATGGACTTACAGCAAATTTTTCTTGTATATCTCTTTTTAAAAATAGCAATTTAAGTCAGAGGCCTATCAACAACAGATAGAGATGGAAAGACTGAACCATCAAGCAGAGCTTTTGCTGAAGAAAGTAACAGAAGAAAGTGACAAACACACTGTTCAAGACCCATTAATGGAACTGAAATTGATATGGGATAGTCTGGATGAGAGAATTATCAACAGACAGGTAAGTACCAAGACTTTTGTTAAGAATTTATAAAATCCCAATTTTATGTATTAATGTAAAATAATTATTAAAAACTAAAATTAGGTGATTACATAAACTTTTGAAGCTCCTAAGTTCTCTTATCTATAAAAGGCTAATATGCAAAGTGTCCCCTCGAGAGTTTGACCGGGAGACCGGGAGTTCGATCGCTCACTATGACATGTGCTGACCACCGGTGGCAGGGGTGTGTGTGGCACCGAACGAAAGAAGGCCCCGGCCAGTGGCCGGCAGCTGGGGAAGGGAGGCCCTGGCCGACAGCTGGAAGGAAGGCCCAGGCTGGCAGCCGGAAGGCCCCAATTGGCCCTGATCGCCTGCCAGGCCTAGGGACCCTACCTGTGCACAAATTTCGTACACCAGGCCTCTAGTTTCATTAGAACTCTCTCTGCCTGTCACATGCCATTTTTTAACCATAAATCGTTTCAGACTTAGAATGTAGAAGTTTATGACAATTGGGCTTCACTGGATATGCTTACAGACTTATGCTGTAGGAAGCATTGATTCATTGCCCTTGTTTTATAAATATATATTATTCACAATATCACGTTCATACATGGATTTATTTCCTCTCCACTTTTTCTGTAGCATAAGCTGGAGGGCGCCCTGTTAGCCCTGGGGCAGTTCCAACATGCTCTGGACGAGCTCCTGGCGTGGCTGACACACACCGAGGGCTTGCTAAATGAACAGAAACCTGTGGGAGGAGACCCTAAGGCCATTGAAATCGAACTTGCCAAGCATCACGTACGTAGCTGTGGTTGCATATTATGTTTCTTCGCTATGCATTTCCAGTTTCGTCAGTTTTTTTTAATGTTTCTTTATGCATTCTTAAATTGTCATTTTAACACAAGTTCATATTTGAATTTGTAACTAAAGGTTAAGCTACTTAAAACACACTTCCTAAAATATTATAAAAATGTTTTTCTCATTGTTCAAGGGAATTATTATCAAAAACAGCAAGGATGGGAAATTTCTGGCTGAATTTTACCAGGGCTGCATGCAGGTTTAAATCCCTGATCATACCTGTCGTCGAATTAATGTGGCAAAGTTTCAAAAGTTGTTGAGAATAGCCTAATAAGTTATAGATTCAAAATGTTATTCCACTGCAGGTTGTGTGTTTTTTTCCTCTGCCCACCCTGATCTCATTTGCTGCTTGATTGGCATGTCTAACATATCGGTATGTCTCTCATATGTTGAGGCTTGCTTTTCTGGCCCTTTGTCCAGCTTACTTTTCATTGGCTTTGTGTTCCTAGTCTTTTTCTTTCTGAATTAGGTTTTTAACATATTATGTTTAAAAGAATTTTTATGTCCTGCACTAGATTTAAAGCTTATAAATTGAAAATTAAGATCTTCGTGATACAATTTTATATTATTGTTATCTTTGTGACACTTAGTTGATAAATCTTAATAGAAAATTCCCTTTCTTAAGTTACTAGGCTTACTGAATATAAGGTTATGTGCTCAGTAGAGGTTAGCCTGACATTCAACAGCCTTTCATAGAACCTTAACATTCACACTAATAGTGGTATCTTAATTAAGGTTAGGTCCTAAATCCTAACCTTAAGTAAGATTTTTTTTTATTGTCAAATGGAAAAAGTTTATTTTACATATTTAGTAGCATTTAAAAAGTAAAAGGTATTTTTTTAGCACTCTAAGATTATGATATGCAGTTTTTGACTATTTGTCCATTAGTTCTCCTTCCATACTTTTCCCCACAGTAATTTTTCCCTAATTTAAATTTCTTTCTTTTTTTTTTTTTTTACCTTGTTCTGTCTATATTTGTAGTCATTGCCCAACCACATTTGATTAAGCAGTTATATTATACATCATTAATATTTTTAATTTAATGTCTATCTTATACCGTGGCTAAGAGCAGTAATGACTGGTGAGGCTGACTCTGCATATAAACAAAACGTGTTTATTCTCATAGTGTGAGTTTATAGCATTTACAGTCCATAAACTTAGCAATTGCCCTAAAAGGTCACATACATCAGTGACAGGAACTTTGTGGAATACAGTAGAGGTGGAAAAACGAGGCACTCTGACCCAGTTATTTGGGTGAGGGATGAGTTAGGGACCTTTTATTTCTGTTTGTTTATCTTTGAGCAGTTAAAAATGGATCTCTTTCTCCTTTCAATTCTCAAAGGTCAAAAGTTAAAGGACTTAGAATTGCCAGCACAATTGTTGGATGAAGGGAGGAAATGTTTCCATCCTCTCCTGCCTTTTTCTCTGGCTCCTAGGCTGTGGCTTATATAGGACTTGGACCATTTAAGAGAATGAATTTTTTAGAATTATTTTTTATATTTTGACTACAAGGATATTTAAATCTGACCTTTTAAAGGTGACTCCTAGTGTTAGCATGTCAGAGAGCATGCTTATTATAAATGGAATGTAAATGCTATAAACTCACAGTATGAGAATTATAAAGAAGATTCATCTTACTCAGTTGATTTTTCAGTCTTTGAAAATCACGCCCTCACCAGATGCTTCAGAAAATGAGTATATATAGTCAGATAAACAGTGATGGTAGGTGGGTGGTACCCATTAGTGAAAATCCTTCCGGGTCCAGATGTGAGATTTCTTACCTAGGATGGGAGGTGATGTTTCTTTTCTTTCCCATGGATAATCCTGAGTCAGTGAGTGTAGAGAAGGATTATTATCAATTTTTATTAATATTCGAGGAAGGGTTTGTCTGGTTCTCAAAAACAAAACTACAGTCTTCTTCAAAGGAAACTATTACTAAGCTATATTTGTTCTTTAAAGTGTAATTCTTATCATTCTTTTCAGTATAAGAAAATTTATCTTTTTAGCCTTGCAGTTGCATTCTGTACTGAACCACTTGCCTATGCTAGTGTCATTAACCCATTCTAGTATTTCCACTGTGTAACAGAATAGGAGGACATTATTTGCTGGGATACGTAGTAAGCATCTCATGTGTATTTTCTAGTAAAAGAGTAGCTCAAATTTGGAATGTTGGGCTTGAGAATCCCCGATATACAGTGAAATAAATCTATTTCCCTTTAGTGTCAGGGCCTCCTAAGATGCCTGTCAACTTAGTAGTCAATTCTAGCACCATTCCAATGAGAGGAGATAAAAGAATATTCTAGGATAATTTTTCCCTTCTAGAGTGCTAATTGTAAACCTTAGTGCTGTTTATCTTAGAAATGTAATAATTTTATATTTGAAAATGGATATATAGAAATAAATATCCCTTAAATTGTTTACTTACAACATTAAAATTAAGGTCAATTAAAATGAGCTTGAGTCATATGAATACTTTCAGAGCCTTTTAATTATAATGTCATATACTTAATGTCATCCATTGCAAAGCTATTCTAATGGGAAGAACTTGCAATGGTCTCACATAATCATTTCAGGGGATGTTGGTAGACAAGAAAGCTACAAAGGTAAGGGAAAAGAAGTCCATCATTTTAAAACTTTATTAGTATTAAAATTCTATGTAGATGATGTCTTTTGTTTCAAAACCAGAAAAGAAAACCATTGCACTAAAAGGGATGTTAACATGTTATAAACTAGCAACCATAGTATTATCTTAATATTTTCAGGTGCTCCAAAATGATGTATTAGCTCATCAGTCCACAGTGGAAGCTGTTAATAAAGCAGGAAATGATCTCATTGAATCAAGTGCAGGAGAAGAAGCAAGCAGCCTTCAGAACAAACTAGAGGTTTTGAATCAACGCTGGCAAAATGTTTTGGAAAAAACAGGACAACGGAAGCAGCAGCTGGATGGTGCCTTGCGCCAGGTGAATGAGAGAATACGTTCTGAAACTGTCTGTAGTCTTCAAGACCAAAAAAACATGCAATTCTTTCATTGGTTTGAAAACACCTGCTTAATTTTTCCACCTCAAGAAGTGTTAAAAATAAGTGGGATAAAGAGCGCTGATGAGAAGGCTCTCTAGTTCTTAGTGTAATAAATAGTCTTATCTAGTAGCGCCCTCCCGAAGAAGAGAAGCAAGGCCAGCCTAGTGGCACCTGGCTGTTCTTAAGAATGCAGAGAGAGGCTTAGCAGGCGGGATTGTTTAAACCTTGTTTTCTGTGTGGAAGTGACAATGTTTGTGGCCCAGACTTAAAACTCTCTGTCACTCTAGGCCAAAGGGTTCCATGGCGAAATTGAGGATTTGCAGCAGTGGCTGACCGACACGGAGCGCCATCTGTTAGCATCCAAACCCCTGGGAGGTTTACCAGAAACGGCCAGGGAGCAGCTTAATGCCCACATGGTAAGTGTATGATTTCCTACAGCTCTAACCTCAGATTAAGAAACTAACCATCTTGTATGGGCCCTGGTGATAAGTAAATCGTGGCAGGAGGTTTAAAGGATATAGAGTTTTACAGCAGGAATCTCTATGTATAAGTGCTAGAAACACCATTTATGGATTTAATTTTTCAAATCGGAACCTATTCTTTATTTCAAAGGTTGGTGTGTCAGTACATGAAAAGAGGTTTTAGAAGTCTAGGCATTTTTTTAGAAGTATACCTTCCCCCATAAAAATGATAAACTTGTATGGATAGTGATAAACATTGTGTACATTAAAAACGGTTGCTCTTTGAGTGAAAGGAAGATTCCCTCAAGTCATAAGAATGGACTTAAAAATTATTGCTGTTAATCATTGTATTTCCACCTTACTTCATAGAAGCCTGGAAAATATGGTTTTGTCCTGTTAAAACAAGGTCACTTACTTGTTTTGTTGGTGATAGGGCTGTATTTTCAGCTTCATGCTGTACAAGGTATGGACCAGAGGAGGCTTCTGTTTGTCCAACTGCAGCATTCTGCCTGTGGCTGTTCCCCGCCAGGTTCTGTGGCCCTGTCAATGCCAAAGGATAAGGAGGAAAAAAAACAATTAATCTTGAGTCTCTGGCTTTCTTTCACAGAGATATGGGCTGACAAATTAAATTTAGGCTGCCTTTGATTTATTGACATTTGTTATTCATTTCCCATTATAAATCAGCTCTAAAAGTTCTAAGTGAAAACAGTCTGTTTCAAAGTTTGAAAACGAATCCTCTAATTCTTACACTTGTGAATTTGCATCAGGAATTCATTTTAATATCCAAATGCTGATAATTAGTATCTTATGAAATAAAAGAAGTAGTATTTAGGAATTTGACAAAAGAAATGAGCCATTGAACGTTAAAGTCTGCACTCCTTTGCAGATGTCTAATGTTGTTGTAAGAGCTTATTAAAACTGTACTTATTTGGAAATAATTTTGAATTTGATGATTTGGAGAGGAAGTAACCATCTTGGAGGTTTTATGAAGAGACACAACAGAGTTAACATCTTATTTACTTCACAATTGCCATGAGCAGTTAACATAAACCTTACTAATCTAGTATGAAATTTTCTAGAAACCTTTCATGCGTATTCATTATTTTAGAAAATTATTGTGTCTGTGGTTATGTTGTTGTTACTGTTGTTTTAATTTGGTTTATTTTTGGTGCCACAAGTGACCATTTGTTCACCGAAAAAAAAAATTGACTAAATAATAACTTGGGAGTGTTTGTTTTTTCCATAAAACCTGACTGACTTCCAGATACTTCTTTACTTTCCTGGAAGTACCGCTGTAGCTATTACCATGTTTATTAAGTGTAAGTTTAATGGATTCTTGCACAAACATGCCTGGGATTAATCTCTAATAAAAATATTTTTAAAATGTTAATTTAGGAGAATATAAATACAAAATTGAACAGCAAAGAGCTTATCTTTAGGATATTTTACTTTTAGAAACATATTGGATATTAGCTTATGTGGTTTGGGTAGGGTATTTGCTATAACCTGGCATAATTTATCAGATTATAGACATTCCAAGATTTAAGGGATTTTAAAGAGTGATTGATATTTGTAATACATTTTTAGTAATATTCTTTTGATTTGGTTGTGTTAGAGTTGAAGAAAACCAGAAAACCTAGAAGACTCTAGTTTCCTGAGATTTGGCTATATCTAAAAGTTTTGCTGTAGGATTAAAATTTTTCAATAGGTGATAATGTCAATATGTTTAGAAAGGGTTTTTTAAAGGCTTAAGAAATTATAAAGTTTTGAGGCAATGGAAATGTTCTGCAGTTATTAGTAATAGTTGCACATCCTTGTGAATATACTAATAAAACACTGAATTTTATACTTTAATATGGATGAATTCTTCAAATTATATTTCAAATTTAAAAATTATGAAGTTGAAAACGTTAGACATAGAATATATAATTTTTCAGTGGGGGAGCTATGATTTGACCCACATTATAATTGAATCAATGGACTAGAACTAGTCTTAGTATTTTTATAGGAATGTAACTCTTGTTTCATTGTTTTTAAATTCTGGATTTGTGTAAACAGTATTTTTTTTAATATTCTCTGTAGAAAATGCACATTGCATTCTAGTTGAAAGCTTTAAAAATGTTATAAGTGAAAGTAAAATTCTCATAGTACTACAAGTTTGGCTTTTGTGATTCCAAAGTCTTAATAAGCAACTTAAATATCTTACTAGACTGGGTCTTTACTTTCTATCCACTGAATGTCTTCTGCGCCCAGAACTAAATTATACCAAAAATATTACAGTTATTGTATTAGCTAGTCCCAGGAGAGACTTAGAACCTGCTTTACAAAGGAGGAAGTCAAGGCTCAATGAGGTTAACGTTTTGCCAAAGGTCACAGACTGATTGGTTACTATATAGTGAAGCCTTTTTCCATAGCATTTAAAATACTGTTTTAAAACCTTCACATGCCAGAATGGATTAGTGATGGTGGCAGTATTTCTGAGATTTCTCAGTGGACAGGTTATGGCTATAGGTTTAGTTGTTGTTTCAATATAGTGAAGAGTTTGAATGTCTGAGGGTTATGCTGTATGCTGGATAGAGATGAATATATGATAAGGGGCTTGGGTTTGATGGAATGGAATAAGAACTCTTAGATTTTATTCTCTTATAAAGTGATATAACTTGGGGCGTGGGGTATCTCGATAGGAAATCTGTGCCGCCTTTGATGTGAAAGAAGAAACATATAAGAGTCTGATGCAGAAAGGCCAACAGCTGCTTGCAAGATGCCCCGAATCTGCAGAGACAAATATTGACCAAGACATAAATAACTTGAAAGAAAAATGGGAATCGGTGGAAACCAAACTCAATGAAAGGAAAGTATGTGCTTTGATTAATATAATAGAATGAATGTTTTAGTTGTTTTATTTCAAGGGTTTTACCTTATCTTTGAGAAGCATGATCAGTGGAATTTTTAATGATCCATGTTTGAATTTATTTGTATACATTAGGAGTTTTCATGAGGTCAGTTGAAAATAGTATTTTGTCCTAAAGGAAGAACAGAGTTAAAGGAATCTATTCAAACATAGATAACAGTGTATCAGAGATCACTGTTACTAGCTATGTTTTTAAATTTGTGAACTACTCAAATTTTGGCTTGTTAAATAATTCTATTCTAGTCATACTTGGTAAACAAAAGGATGTATGTAGGAGGAGGGAGTGAGGGAGATCAAGAGAATGAAATAATTGTCCATAACTAGTAAGCACTTTATGAAAAAAATCCATGAGATGAGATTAAAAATATTACTCTTACCCGGCCAGTGTTGCTCAATGGTTGTGTTGACCTATGAACCAGGAGGCTGTGGTTCAATTCCCAGTCAAGGGCACAGGCTTGGTTGCAGGCTCAATCCTCAGTAGGGGGCGTGCAGAAGGCAGCCAATAAATGATTCTCTCTCATCACTGATGCTTCTATCCCCTCTCCCTTCCTCTCTGAAATCAATAAAAACAAATTTTTAAAAAAACATTACTGTTTAATGCTGTAAGAAAAATGATAGGATAGGAATAGTACTAGATTGCATGTCCTCGTCAATACAGCATATATATGTATTTAATAGTATTATAATTCCAAAAATCTTATGACTGTGTAAGAAAAATGATAGGATAGGAATAGTACTAGATTGTATGACCTCACCAATACAGCATATATATATGTATTTAATATTATTATAATTCCAAAAATCTTATGACTTTCAAGTTTTCATTTCACAGATGCTTTTCAGTAACTGTGTTCTGTGCTTAATTGACCCCAAACCACAATTTAATGCATATTAAAATGTTTCTAGCTGCAGTGAGATGCTTCTTAATATACTTCAAGGGGTTTGACTTGCCAGTACCTTAGGGACAGTCCATTACATTCATAAACTGTTTAGGTAATATAGCTTATGCATAAAGTATAGATGGGAAGGATAGCCGCCAGAGAGTGGTTTAAGTGGGAGGAAAGAAAACTTTTAAATATCATCAAATACTAAACAACCTTTCTTCGCAGACTAAACTGGAAGAAGCCCTCAACTTGGCAATGGAGTTCCACAATTCTCTCCAAGACTTCATCAACTGGCTCACCCAGGCTGAACAGACCCTAAATGTTGCTTCTCGGCCAAGTCTTATCTTGGACACAGTCTTGTTTCAAATCGATGAACACAAGGTATGCCATAACTCACATGGAGAGCATTCTGACTTCAGACCTTTTAGACAGCTGGCTGTTTTCATGTCAAAAGCATGAATTTGCTAGTTTGAAAACCTTTCTTTTGTCCTTTGAAATAGTTTCAGCTTATGACACCAGAAGCATTTTCAAGATAGGTCCGTTCTTCATTTGTTTCTCATTTTATCCCTTTTTTTTGGAAAGGTCTTCGCCAATGAAGTAAATTCTCACCGTGAGCAGATAATAGAGCTGGATAAAACTGGAACCCACCTGAAATATTTTAGCCAGAAACAAGATGTTGTCCTCATTAAGAATCTGCTCATCAGTGTCCAGGGTCGATGGGAAAAAGTGGTTCAACGGTTAGTAGAAAGAGGAAGATCTTTGGATGAAGCAAGGAAGAGGGCCAAGCAGGTAAACCTTTATAGAAATTCTCTGAACTTGGCAATACATCAGTTCTAGTTTTTGAAATATAGGTTATGTTAGTAAAGTACTTATATTGCAGGCTGCATTATGGGTAACAATCCTGGCAGGAAGCCAAGGTGTTCATTTCCTGAAAGGGCTGTGGCCTGGGTTGGGATGATGACATTACTTTTTACCTGGCAGCAGCTTCAGGCCCTGGGGACTGATCTTGAAAAGACTGATTATAGGTTGACTTCATAGACAGACCATTATCTTAAGCCCTCAGAATTTTTGTCATTGAGTTTGTTTGTTTGTTTCTTTGTCTTGTCAACCTCCTTTCTCATACTTAGAGTGAGACATCATACTTTATTATATGGCTACCTTTTATTTAGTTCCTAAGCCAGACTTTCTTCAAACTGTCAGCTGAGAGCCAGACATTGAGCCCTCTGAGACAACCTCCCGAAAGGGATATTCTGTGTCTGAGTGAGTGGGTACTCCTCACCTCCCTGAATCTGTGCATTGTTGGCAAGCCTTTATTTCTTTGCTAATATTTTGATACAGCTCCATCCCACTTTTAAATTGTTTGAATCTTTTGGGGCTGCTTTTTTTTTTAATCTAGAGACACTCACAAGGAACTAGCCTAACTTTCTTCACCTGTTATTAATATTATATTCTAGACTACACACAGAGGAGAAGCAAAATTACATGTCTTTGTTCTCCAGGGGAGAGAGAGATGCACTCACCTTGCTTGGCATATATCGTTGATTTTTATTTAAAACTAGAAAGTGTAATATCGAGGCTGGATTTTTATTCTTTGTCCTGTTCAGTTGCATTTGTCCATCATTGGTGCTGCACTTCATTGTTTGGGGGAGCTAGGCTCAGTTGGGTGATATAAAAGATGTCCTGGGAGTTTAGTGTTTCACTGTTTAAAGTTATCAGCATAAGTTTTTAAGGGCTTTGGAAATGACAGATTGCACTGTTATAGGATTACATGCCGTATATCCCTTTTTGAGTGGGAGGTATGATATCAGCAGTGTTATAAGTGAGTCCCTGGAATGGAACTAGTCCCTAATGATTTTGTAAGATAACATTAATACTGAGCCTGTCATTTTTCTCTCCACATATGTAACAGTCTATAGTTTAGGCGTTTTTGAGTTAAGCACATCTAGCTTATAAAAATCTCTTGGATGCCAGAAGCCAGTTGCCCATTCTCTTCCTCCCTTCTCCATTTAATCAATTTTATTTTCTGTTTGTTTAATTAACTTCTGGTCTCAATGCAAAAGCATAGCATTTCTTCTGTTTTTACCATTTAAAAATAGTTTTGAAAGTAGGACCAGCCTTAGAACCTGTGTGTTTATATAATTAAACTTACCATCTAACTGTTACAGCCAATGTAATTTGTAGTAAGACTACCTAACACCATGACTAGCTGTATCTTTATTTTATTTTTCCTTTCTTTCTTTTTTTTTATTCTAAGATCTCCGTTTTGGGCTCAGATGTTGACCGTAGTTCTCTGACTTGGACAATGTCTGTTTCTGTTCTGGCCTCCATATTTTCATGTTTAAATTGATTAGCATGTGGGAGGGGTGTGTAGGGAGAGCAGGTTTGATGAGATGATCTCTAAGGGGCCCTTGCAGCTTTGCAATTCCGTGCTCTTATTGTGCTGTTTTGGTAAGAAGTGTCTTTTTGTTATTCCATTATTAATGTGCTTTGATATAAAACACATTTTATTTTGATTACCTAAGTCTTTGCTATGTATCTGTTCACTTAACTTTATTATGAGGCATAATTTATAACCATTTTCACAACTTGGTCTCCAAAAATAGTACCCACTAGTTCTCAGAGATAAACAGAAAACAGACTGTAGGTGAAATGAAATATATGTAGCACCAGACTATTTCAAGGTCGATGACAAAGAGAATTCTATTTTGTTAGAACTCAAGTACTATGGGTGCTCTTACATACTAAACCAATTATGTGAGGCACGGGCATTAAGTTGAGGATTTTGATAGCAAAATAAAGATGTTCAGCTATCTTTGTATTAAATAGGAATGAAATGACCTCTTTGTTCTTGTTACTTTCTAAAGCCAGTTTACAAACTTTATCCTCTTTCTACTGTTTTATTCCTTTTCTTAACATAAGAATTAAACATCTTAGAAGTAAACACAGAAATGTCAAGAGACAGCAGAAAGCAAATAAAATTCTCTGAGAGTTGATGTTAATTATTAAGAAAAAGAAAGGGAGGGAAGTTTTCCCTGATGCTTTCTAACATATCTATTTTTGTTAAACTTTGTGTGCTTGAATGAATTATAACAAAGTGACCATGGGCAAAACCACAAAAGCCAGTGTAAACAAGACAGTTTGTAATCTGCTGATGAAACTACTGCTTTTTTCTTCTTCAGGGGAATTGTTGAATTAATAATTTTCAACATTTCCATTAACATTAATTTCTATTTTAAATTAATATTAGATTTTAAATATAGTGTATAGTGAAAGTTTCCTGGACAAAATGTGAATTTCTTTACAGTTCCATGAAGCTTGGACTAAACTTATGGAGTGGCTAGAGGAGTCGGAAAAGTCTTTGGATTCTGAACTGGAAATTGCCAACGATCCAGACAAACTAAAGACACAACTCTCGCAGCATAAGGTGGGTCTACAGTTAAGAAAAGCATATGGTGCCCTGGCTGAGTGGCTCAGCTGGTTGGAGCATCATCCAGTACACCAAAAGATTGCAGGTTCAATTCCTGATTATGGCACATACCTATGTTATGGGTTCAATCCCCCGTCTGGGAGCATCCTGGAGGCAACCAATCAAAGTTTCTCTCTCTCACATCGATGTTTTTCTCTTTCCCTTCCTCTTGCTCTAAAAATCAATAATGGAAAAAAACAAAAAAACAAAAACATGTCCTCAGGTAAGGATTTAAAAAAGAAAAGAAAAGCATAGTATGTCTTTATATATTTCAAGATTACTTTTCATTTCCTACTTGGTTGTGCATTTATTTGTCACTAGAGGAAAGAAAGGTTCAATGTGAACTACATGAAATTTAAAACAATTGCCCTTCACGTTGGTCCATTCCATTATGATCTAGGATTCATTGGTAAAAGAAAACAGGCAAAATTAAAACTGGAATTCTACAACCTAAAACATATAAAGGTTTGTAGGGGTTCAAACATTGGCATTTCAATTTTAGCACAATTGTCTTGTATTTGCTATCATAAACCATATAGAAGATAATTCTATAGTAAAAAATAATGTAAATTTCTTTTTAACAGTGCATTGGGGGAAATTGGTTTCTTCTACAATGTGTATGTGTGGGTATATGAAACTCCATCCTAACCCTCAAGGAAACAAAGTCAGTGGCTTCCTTGTGTAAATTAGATGTAGAAACATTGAATTTTATATTTTCTACCTTTTCTATTCCTACCACATGGCATTTAAAGTGCGTTTCCCCATCCTTCTCAAATCGGTTAAGTTTGGGTCCTTCTGTCATTCTGTTTGATCATCAGCACTCAGGGTGAGGATGTGGGTAAAGGGGAGTGATTCCTGCAAATAGTTGTACATTTTTAGGCATCTACATGTAAATCATTGCTTGAAACATGATCATTTATAAAAGGATTGAAAAAAATATGGGGCAATGTAAGGTCATCATCAGAAAATTCTAGATGGTTGCTTCCATTAGCGAATCTACTTACCTCAGAGGATCACGATCCTATGATGATGGGAGGAAACATAGTGAGCACCCGTTTTTGGCGAGATGAGGGCTTATGAATGGCTTGTCCTGCTGGTGGCCTATGTCCCTGAGCTGCCACACGTAATATGGCAGCACAGTGAGGGTGAGCAGCACCTTCCTTCTGTCCCCTCTGATGGAAAAATGAGAGCCTCCTTCTCAATGTAGAATGTCTTATTTGAACTTGATCGTAGATGTCATGTCATGTAGTCTTATGAAAGTCTATTGAATATTTAAATTAGAAAATCCTAGAAATAACAATGTGCAAAGAATCCTGTGAGATTCTCTATTTTCCCTAGTGTGACCTATGGCCACAATCACCATCTCTCTGAAATAAAGATACAAGGTTCATTAAGCCAATTTTAAAAGAAGTCTTTTCTGTTCATTATTTGGGTACTTTTTGTCCTTAAAGAGTTTTAACCTGCCCTGTTTTCAGTATAACATTGGTTGTGTATTTACTATGTGAAGGAAATCTGTCAATACCGTGCTTCTAAAACTAGCATTCTGTTTAGAATAACATGAAAACATAATATGTACAGAGAACGGCAGAAATAGTGTGATATTCTACTTGTGCTCACTGCTAAAAAATTCCCAGATGTAGTTGCTTCCTTTTACAAGACAAAATAAATATCTTAGCCATTATAAGACACTTAAAGTGTCTTGCTTTTAAAGGCAATAAAAACATATTAGGTAATTTTAACTGAGGTTATTTTGGAAAATTATACATTTGTATAGCATTTTACTATCTGGGGTAATTCTAATGTGCTTCCAGGATTGAGAATCACTATATTAAGTGTTCTCGTGATATTTTATGAGCTTGTAAACTGCCTATTCAGTTGACCTAGCTTTCTTCTCATCCCTGGGATTATATATTCAATAGCAGTTGGCTCATTCGTTTTATTACATTCTATAAACACACAGAAAATATAACCTGATAATGAGAGGATTACAAAGACAATATCCCAACTGCAGGAAGGCTTATAATTGAGTTGTGTAGAAAGAATAGAATTCACCCCTCCTGCACATATACACACAAAAATGAAGCATCAAATCACGGAGGTCCTGTTAGCAGGATAGCTATTTGGTACATGGAAGAGTAATCTGTAGATCTTTTGAGACTTTGGTAGGTCATTAAAGAGGTGGAGAGGAGGGGTGTAGGCCTTCAAGTGGTGTGCTTACAATGACCAGTAGGTCTAAACATAGGGACCTAAAGGTGTGGTTCTTATTTGTCCCTCATCCTAGTTCACAGATAAAATTACTTGTAAAATTACTGTGAATATAGGAAATGTGTGCCAAAAAAACTGTTTGGCAAAAAACTCATAAATTTATACAGTATTGAGTCCCTCTGTGTCCTTATTGGACCAATAGTTACTCATAGAATGTTAACTACTAGTACATTTTCCTCCTTAAACCACGGGATTTTCAATAGTTTATTAGCAATTCTATCATATCATAACTAGAATACTGTCTGTAGTTTATAGCTACAAAAGATTTTGGATTTGTTTTGTTTTGAAATTATTTTCTTGATAACAGTAATAATTTGAAAATGTAAAGATGATTGTCTATCCTGGTATGTTCCTGTGTAGAGTACGGCACTGAATTGTGTGACTTGATTATTTGCGGATGCCTTCCGATGGTTAGACTCCGTTTATTAGAGATGCCTCTTTGAGTGTCTCTTACCCATTTGTGTGTTAGTTCCAAGTATAAATGCACATTGTATTCTTGTTTAACATCTAGGAGTTTCAGAAATCCCTTGGAGCCAAGCATTCTGTGTACGACACCACCAACAGAACTGGACGTTCTCTGAAGGAGAAAACCTCCCTGGCTGATGACAACCTGAAACTGGACGACATGCTGAGTGAGCTCCGAGACAAGTGGGACACGATCTGTGGAAAGTCCGTGGAAAGGTGAGATGTTCTTTAATGAACCAAATGTTTGGTTACTTTGTAGACCTCTTTCAGATACACAAGAGCCGTACTTTGCAGGGACATTTTAGGAACCTGAAATATGTCCTTGCCTGGGGAACTTCTCTGGTCCTTAGTCCCCCCCCTCGCACAGAACCTGCAGAGAAGGCTTTGCTAATCATCACGATTGTTTTTAACTATTCAGTTCACTCAGAAGTTAGAACATTCCCCAAGCTTCTGTCATCTCACACCTGACTGATCTTCCAGGTCTGCTCTTGTCCTCCTTAGTCCAATTTCTACATAACTACTAGGTAGTTTGTTTTTTTTAAGTAAATGGAAGCTGGTCATCCTCCGCTTTGTGCCCTTTAGGGACTTACTATTGGTGTGAACTAAAATATAATCTCTTATTGTGCAAGGTCTACTGATCTGACCCCTGTGTTCCCCTCCAACTTCCATGCACCCCTTTCTAATCTCCCCTTTTCTCATTACACTTCAACTGTGAAGGCCCCCCAAATTTTTAAAAATATGTTTTATTGACTTCAGAGAGGGAGACGGGGAGAGAGAGAGAGAGAGAGAGAGAGAGAGAGAGGGAGAGAGAGAGAGAGAGAGAAACTTCAATAATGAGAGAGAATCAGTGATCCAGTTGCCTCCTGCACGCCCCCTACTGGGGGTTGAGCCCACAACCTGGGCATTTACCCTGTGGGACTTGAACCGTGACCTCCTGGTTCATGAGCCACGCCAGCTGGGCAAAGGCCCAAAATTTTAAAGAAAGTACAATAGTACTGAAAGAGTTCAAATATATTAGAAATGTTTTCAAAGTTTTCATTGATCTTAGTCAAATTGCTTTAGTCAGTATCAAGATTAAATAGAGTATTATATTCCACTCTGTGGAATTTCACAGTAATATTTTTGTGTTTTTTCTAAAAAATTAAAAAACCTTCTCCAATCTCAAAAGGTCATGCTTTATACAATGTCATATAGTGAGATAAGTGTTTTCTTTAATATGACATTCTTGAGAATACAGAAGATCAGTGATGGCAGACAGATCCGTCAATGCCAGGGGTTAGAGATGGGGGCAGGCTGAGACTATACAGAGGCATCACAGGGCGATTTTTGGGGTGATGGAACTGTTCTGTATCTCGATTATGATGATAATTACACGAATCTACCTATACATGTGTTCAAATTCACAGAACCGTATACCCAAAACCCTCCATTTTACTGTATGATAATTTAGAACATAAATTTTAAAAAAACGTGTTTTTTTTTTTTTCATTAAAAAGCCATACTTTCATGAAGAAATGGAAGGGTCTGTGGCTTCCAGAGGTGGTGATGAAGGAATTTTCCTGGGACAGTGCCATGCATTTAAGGAATAAAAGAGAAGGGTTGAGAAAAGTGTTGTTGTTTGTTGTTGTTGTTTTTTAAGGGAAGCACAAAAACAGCAGAGAATACCAATACATTGGTTTTCCTCTGAGTTCGGCTCAAACGTCATGAATACATTTTAGCTGTTAGGATGTACAGGCTGGCTTTTTTGTTGCACGGATTGATTCTTCTCCCGCCCACCCCCCAGACAAAACAAATTGGAGGAAGCGCTGTTATTTTCCGGACAATTCACAGATGCCCTGCAGGCCCTCATTGATTGGTTATATAGAGTGGAGCCCCAGCTGGCAGAAGACCAGCCTGTCCATGGAGACATTGATTTAGTGATGAATCTGATCGATAATCACAAGGTATTGTTACCTGGGTCATTTTATTCATTTCATTTTGATTATTCTGGGTAGAGAAGAAACTCTTACCATTTAGCCTTTTAAAATCGTAGATACTATATATCATGCTACATAACAGTCTTTAATATTGAGGTGTATGTACAGTTGAGCAGAATCAGGAAGCCAACTTGGTGTAGGAAAATCATTTTAGTGTCAATGGCATACTTTTGTTTTTAATTTCCAGATCCAAGACCTTTTAGAACTTGGAAAGCAATTTTATTCTCTGGTGCTTTAAAACGTGTTTCAAGAATGTTTTACTATCTCTTTTTTATTCATTTAAATGATTATGTAATGTAATTTAGAAACATTCATTGAGTGACCTGGAACTTGATCATTGCATAAGCAGATAGATAATGTGACATGATCTATGGAGGTCATGGTCAGCTGCCTTTCTTTTTTTAAAAAACGGTTTAACCTTGCCCTTGAACTATAGCAACTTATGAGACAACTGCATATGTTGAGGAATTTGATTATTACTTCAAGAACATTGGTTTCCTTGAAATCTTCTGATATGTATGGTAAACTGTGTAAATCAAAGGTCATATTTGAGAACTCCAGCTGATATTGAGTGTAAGGTTCTAAATTATGATCAAATGCTGTTACAACTTAAAAAGTTTAAAAACAACATGAGGTACTGTACTAATGTAGAAGGGTTGTGTCAGAGTTGACTTTATATAGAGATGTTTTACAGCACTGCTTGAATTCATGTTGTATTGCCCCTCTTATCCTTTTTGAGTTCAGAAAATTTATTTCATTTAAAAATGCTCTCTTTATACTTCCCTGATTATGCTATTTTCATCTTACCTATTCTTTTTTTAAACAGTTGGTCCTTTTGCACATTTAGTTCCCCTTTTCTGGTTCTGTTATCTCATTATATCAATAAAGGCGAGTTTGTTATTTTGAATATGAGAAAATAAAAGGATAAATGGAGAACATTGATCAGGCCCACACAAATAAAAATTTAAAGAATTACGTTGCTTTGCCGATATTAAAACAAATGTTTTGTGCATGATTAATATAAACCTTTCCATTCCCTGGCAGCCATTCAATGAGTAATGAATAGTGTAATGTTACTTTTTACATAAATACCATTTTTGTAAGCTCACTGTCTAAACATTTACTCCCCTAGGCACTTGCCAGGTTTTTTATATATTAAGGTCATCAAGAATGAATTAATCATTCAGCATTAGTAATACAATTGGAAGGCTCAAGAAATTTAAGTATACAGAGTACATTGCAAAGTCTACTCAGATCTATTGGACTAGTCCTATCACAAATAGAATGTTTAGACACTGTCCCATCTATATATGTGTGTGTGTGTATGTGTGTGTGTGTGCCCATGTGTGTGTGCATGTCTATATGCAGGTACATCTTGTTTAACACTGTTAGAAGGAAATCAGCAAAGAATTCATCACTGATTTTGATGGGCTTTCTTTTATGAATGATCTGAGTACCAAACTAGAAAGCCATGGATACAGCCACAATGATAAAATGTGCTTGGTAATATTCATTTGTGATCATTTTTTTAAAGAAAGATAAGATAATATTATCCTATACATAAAGTTGGCTCTTTGAAAGATCTAGTATCATATACAAACTCTTGTATCAGAAGTAAAGAACCCCAGGTTCATTTCTTGGATTAAGACTGTGGCCGAAAGAAGCCAATTTAACTCCTGACACATCAGAGTTTACATGGATTAGATGGGAGCAAAAACCAAAAAGCTTTTACTCCAAGGTGACAAGGATTTACGCTACTAAAATTTGACATTATGGGTTAGTAGTATTCAGGATGCTGTAAAAGACGAAGGCATGTTATAGAGAAAAAGGACTACATGCCAACTTTCCATGAGATTTCCTGCCATTGTCATGAAGGATCCCCGTGATGTACCCCAGGATTCCTTAGTTATTCGTTAGTCTCTTACGTCTGTTTACACTAAGTAAGAGTAGTGTGGTGGCCAGCACGCACTTGGTACTCAGTAATGAGTTGAGAGGAATTGAGACACCATTTTAAGGAATCATAGAAAAGAAGGAACTTGATGCATTATTTTGTGGAATTGAAATAAAAGGTGGCCACCATTATTTAAACCCACTGTGTCATTTAAAAAATAGGGTTGTTCACTCAGGAGAATGTTACAAGATTGAACCAATTTATACAAGACTGCTGTTTTTTAAAGAACTTGACATTTTATTTTTCAATTACAGTTTTCATTCAATATTATTTTGCATTAGTTTCAGGTATACAGCTTGGGGGCTAGACAGTCATACACTTTACCAAGTGTTCCCCCAATATTTCTAGTATCCACCTGGTCCATACATAGTTATTACAATATTACTGACTATACTCCCTACGCTGTACTTTACATCCCCATGACTATTTTGTAGCTGCCAATTTGTACTTCGCAATCCCTTCACCTTTTTCAACCAGCTCCCCAGCCGGCCTCCCCTCTGGCAGCCAGCAGCCCGCTGTCTGTGTCTAAGATACAAGACTGGCCGTAACGGTGCTCTGACAGATTCTGTGAAAAATCTGGGTCCTTCAACTCCACGTCTCAGAGATCTGTCCATGATGTTATTATTTGCACATATATATTTGAAACTATGTTTGACTGTTTTGGTTTTGTAATTAAAAATTGACTTCGGTAAGAATATGGTTTTCTTTAGGCCTTCCAAAAGGAACTGGGGAAGAGAACCAGCAGCGTGCAGGCCCTGAAGCGCTCGGCCCGGGAGCTCATAGAAGGCAGCCGGGACGACTCCTCCTGGGTCCGGGTCCAGATGCAGGAACTGAGCACACGCTGGGAGACCGTGTGCGCACTTTCTGTGTCAAAGCAAACTCGGTTAGAAGCAGCTCTGCGCCAGGTAAAAATTATGTACTTACAGCAGGTGTAGTGGGAAGGTATTGAGGCCTCCATGAGAGCTGCCCTTGTGAAGGCCCGTGAAGCTCCCCATTTCTTAACCAAGACGATCATGGAGAAGAACATTCTTAAAGCATCAGTGCCTGGGTCCTTCCCCCACTCTCCCCATCCTTCCCCCCAAAACTTAAATTACTACCAAGGGAGGCTTTCTAATCTTCCCATAAATGTGCTGCTTGAGTAATTTTTCAGCCTGAATGTATAATGGGCTGCCATTCATCTGAAATCAGATTGTTAAAATTCATATATAGGCCTTTTTTATTTTTTTTAAATATATTTTTATTGATTTCAGAGAGGAAGGGAGGGGGAGAGAGAGATAGAAACATCAATGATGAGAGAGAATCATTGATTGGCTGCTTCCTGCACATCCCCTACTGGGGATCGAGCCTGCAACCTGGGCATTTAGCCTTGACCGGAATTGAACCTGGAACCCTCAGTCCGTAGGCCGACACTCTATCCACTGAGCCAAACTAGCTAGGGCTCTAGGTCTTTTTTATATATTAGATGCTTCCTTTACATTTGTAAAATGCAGCACCATCTAGCTTTTATCTTTTTAATGGGGATAGTGCATATGATTAATCAATTTAAATAGAAAAAATTTTTTTTTCATTGAGAGGAAGAATCTGCTGTACTAAGCATATTTGGAACTCTTGTTTGGGGTGTGTGTGTCTGTGTGAACCTGTAGGCAGAGGAATTCCATTCGGTGGTGCATGCCCTGTTGGAGTGGCTGGCTGAGGCGGAGCAAACCCTTCGTTTCCATGGCGTTCTCCCAGAGGACGAGGATGCTCTTCGGACTCTCATTGATCAGCATAAAGTGAGTTACATAAATGCTAAGTCAAACTAAACGAGAAAATCAAAGTAAAGAAAATTGACTTGTGGTTGCAAATGTCAATTGCATGAATATTTTCCTTCCCAAGAACTAATTAAAGACCTAGTACATTTGAGACTTCACCTGTGTCCTCCATACTTGCATAGGTGTGTCCCATGCACCTATACACAGGTATGTGTAGCTATCCTTTTATTTTTCCTTCATAAAGAAGGTTGTTATTCTAAAATTAGTCACTTGATTTTCTATCTTTAGGAAGTTTATTGATTTTTCTAGGGGGTTATGTGGCGTCTGACCAAAACTGGTCAATTTTGTTGCACTTTTATGTGCATATCAAAGATGAAGTTTCCTTAATGAGCAGTTTGGCATAATTATACCATTAGAATTGTACATTAATAATTTTGACTTTCAAAACAAGCAAGTAATTTGATAATTGGTCTTCAAATTTCATTTTTAAGCCTCTGCCAATTCTGTTTTAAACAAAAAGCCACCTTAAATTCTTTTGAGAAGTAACTCTAGGATAAATTATAAGTTGATAAAGGAATTATGTAAGTAGACATATTATTAAATAGTTAAGTAAAAATCTGGCCATTGAGGTTCAGATTCAGATCTTCCTGTGATAATGGGTAGAACTAGCAAAATCCTTAAGAGAGTGGTTCAGATAGCTCTTAACAGATGTTTGAGTTTTTTTAACCTTTGACTCTACCAAGAATTTGTAATGTAGCACTCAATGTTATATTGATGTCAGGATTCCTGTTATCTTTAAAGGATCTGTTTAGCCACTGAGTAACCTCATCTTTCAAGGTCAAATTAGAAATACATCATTAATTCCAGTGTAGCATGGGTTACATCATCTATGGAGACTTTTTATTTTAATTACTATGCTCTCTCAATGATGCATGGTGTAACCTATAGCAATGAAATACTGCCTTGTCATTAATAAAAGTGATGTGAGTTTGTATGACATTATCTGGAGGAATGAAATGCTACCCACACCATTTAAAGTTGAAGCTAGAATGTAAGAAATCAGGTAAGAGTAGGAAAATTACATCAAATTTACTGTGACTATTTTATTCAGTTCAATGTTTTGAAAATGTAGTTTATGTTACCATAGGCTGACCATCAGCCAGCACTGAGTTACTCTAACATACATAGGCCTGGGTCTCAGAGTAGCCCCTTGAAGCCCAGGTTCATATCCATCACCCTTTGGAAAGGAGTCCACTTGTGGTCTCACCACCCTCACAGCAGGACCAGGGCACCCCCAGGAACACCAGGAGGCAGGTATCCAGAGCAGAAGTCATGGCTTTTTACAAAAATTGTAGGTCCTCCAATAATATCATTTTGTTACAATATTGATGAGAAACAATAGGACTTTAATTCTTGTTCATATCAATTAGCCTATGATAAAATTGACTCTGTTGTGTTGTTTTGCTTAAAGTCACAGAACCTATCGACCATGTTAAGTGAGGACTTACTGTAATTATCTTTAAATATTTTTAAATAGCATAAGCTATTTAAATAACATGCAATTTTATAAAGGCCCTCTTAGTAATGAACATTACCTAATTGCAGGGACATTATTCATTCTTTTTCATTTCCTCTGCCTTCCCTTCACACACTCGCTGATAGAAGAGAAACAGAATATTTAATTTCTCAGCCCCAGGACTAGAGACTTGTTAGTATAAATCAATTCCTAACAATGGCAAGTGCTCCCACATGAGCACACACTACTCAAGTGGCACTCGGGCGAGATTGGAAGAGCGCGGAATACAACAGGGAGTTGACAGCCCAGTCCCCAGCATTTGGGCAGGGCCAGGCTCTTGTAGGTGTAGGAGGGACTAAAAGTACATGATCACGTCAACTGTCCTCTGCAAAGTACAGCTGTTGCTAACCTCTGAATTTCTCTTCCTAGTCAAGTTTTTCTTCCTTTTATTTAAGAGGATATATATTGGGGGAAATTAGAATATATTTAGAGGTAGGTCATGATATTTAAAAAAGTAGGTCAGTTGTTAATTGAACCTTGAATCCACAGAAGTAAACATGTGTACATAAAAGGTTGGAAAGCACTTATTCAATCACAGAAACACAAAATTGAATCTTTGATCTTGTGGACCTTAACATCTAGAAGATATGGATGTAAACAAATTATGTCAGCACAGCAAAATGCTCAAGTAGGAGGCATATGACAGAGCTGCTTCTTGGAGTTTCAAAACAAAAGGTCACTAGACTTTATAGTAAACAACTGTGTTTTCAGATGATCACCCTAGTCACAGTGTATGGGTGTCTGCTGTGTCTGCAGCCTCTGGCACTTCTTGACAGTGTGATCAAGGAATCCTTCTAAGCATGGGGGTCCAGATATATTGGGGTGTCTGTGGATGCTTGAAATTCAGTGTGTGGTTTTGGAAGCTTGTCACCTGTTTTAGGGTAAAGGTCCTCATTTTTTAAAACACACTTGTAGAGTTCTCTGATTCATGTATCTATGGACACAGTTCTGATGACAGAAAGTAGTTACATATGTGAGGCATTTGTAAAGTAGTTGATTGGAAACCCTTTCCTTGGACCTTTTGTGGCTCATCTATGCTGCTGGGGCAGAGAGTGGTTCCTACTGGCCATGGAAGGGAGGGACAGCTTTTACACTGCTGGCCTGCTGTCTGGCCCGCTCACTCCAGCCTCCCTCTCACTCCGCCCTGGTTGGATATTTGTGCCATCTCTCCCACACCCTCAACTTTTCTAGCTCCTTTCCCAGACTTCTCTCTTCCTTGGCACCTCTTTTTGGTACATATTCCTATCTTTCCTGATGTGGTTAATGCTATTTTAACTACTAACCCCCTTGTCTTATTTGTTAGGTGTTTTTTTGTTTGTTTCAATCAGTATTATTTCTATCTCTGGTATTACTGTCTCTCCCAATGCTACTCTCCATTAATACTATAATTATAATATCTTCACCTCTTTTTGGTACATATTCCTATCTTTCCTGATGTAGTTAATGCTATTTTAACTACTAACCTCCTTGTCTTGTTAGGTGTTTTTTGTTTCCAATCAGTGTTATTTCTATTTCTGGTATTACTGTCTCCCAATCCTACTCTCCATTAATACTATAATTATAATATCTCCAAAATCAGGAGAGAGTATATCTTGTGTAATGTATTTATACATTAAAAATGTATCGTGTAAAGCATGAGATACTATCCTATAACTGTATTTTAAAATATGTATTAGAAACTACTTTATTTCCTATTTTTGTGCCTTCTCCTCCCTTAATGCCCCAATTAGTGGATCATTCCCAGCTGTGAATAAACCAGTTGCACTCTGACAGTCAGATGACTGTCACCGGAGTTTTGTTCTCAGCCATGCCAACAGCTAATTGAAGCCTTCGCTTCTGCTGCAGGAATTCATGAAGAAACTGGAGGAAAAACGAGCTGCCCTCAATAAAGCGACCAGTATGGGGGACGCCGTCCTGGCCATCTGCCACCCCGACTCCATCACCACCATCAAGCACTGGATAACCATCATCCGGGCCAGGTTTGAGGAGGTCAGTGTGGCTCCAGCCATCTTCAGAGCAGTGGTAGCTCTGACAGTCAGGCAGGAGGTATGGAAACTTCAGCTTTTAAGATGCACTCACGGCCATGGGAACATGAGGCCTCTGCAGAGAGAGATGTCTGTAACATACCTTTCCTGTGAGCATCACCCGTCCCTGCAATCCACTTTTCTTTAAACAGTGGAGGGCATTTGCAGCCATGTCCCTGAAACACGAAAAGGCAAATACTTGCTTCTCCGCTGTGTAACTTACTTCCGGTCTCGCTTCCACATTGTGTCTGTTGAATAACCCAGGAGTTGGATAGTATTTCAGAGTAGTATATGCATGTGGAATGAATTACATACACGAAGCACATTAATTCTTTAAGATCTTAGCTATTTTTATTTCTACTCGGCTCGACATGGAGTAGGCATACTTGGTCCTTCGGAGAATGCATATTTGAACGTGAGTTAGAAAACAAAGAGAAGTCTGGGTGATTGAGGTACATCTCTAAACTTCTAAAGGTGACGAACATCCCCGAGCTGGGTCTTGGTACCACTGATGGGATCTAGAAAGACTTCCAGCCCAGGATGATCCTAGTTCACATTGAAATTATTAAATCATTCACTAAGATGGAAGAAATTCAGGGAAATTTCTATTTCTCCGCCAGGTGCTGGCCTGGGCAAAGCAGCATCAGCAGAGACTAGCAAGTGCTCTGGCTGGGCTCATTGCCAAACAGGAGTTGCTGGAAGCTTTGCTGACTTGGCTGCAGTGGGCTGAAACCACGCTTAGTGATAAGGACAAAGAAGCCATCCCCCAGGAAATTGAAGAGGTGAAGGCCCTCATTGCAGAACACCAGGTAAAGTAAATGCCATCCTACCCCCCATCTTCTCAGGTATTTTCTTTCTTTCACTGCTGTAGTGCTCAAAAGATTGCTTTGTACCTTCACGTCCATTCCTCAAACACACTCCTCAGCTCCTTCCAACTGGGTTTCTAATTCTACCACTGCCTTAAAACTTCTCACAGATAACTGAACTTTGACGGTCTCTCCTCTTTATCTGTTATCTTCCCAAAACTCTTTCCTTTTTGGCCTCTGTGAAGTTACACTCATGGGCACTGTCTCAGATTGGCTCCACCCCTGCCCCCCTGCCTCTCACATTCTAAGTGGCAGTTCTATACTCCATTCATCTCTCCCTCTCTCCCTCTCTCCCTCTCTCCCTCTCTCCCTCTCCCCTTCTCCCCCTCTCCCTCTTTCTCTGATCTCGCCCTTGCTGGTTTCATTGCTCCATGTTTGCATTTTCTACTATCTGCTGCTGTGAACATCTCCCGAGACGTCCCCCGTCAGAACTCCACATATGCAGCTATATCATCTTACTCAAAAAAA